GTTCAATACTGATCTGAAAATGATTTTGTTGGACCATCAAAATAATTACGTAGAAATACCTAAGTGTGTAATGCAAAAACGATGAGCGATGCTGCAAAGTTTTGACATTCTAGCCAGCTTGAACATTCTATTTCAATTATTTTGATGATTTATATAAAATTATTTTGAAATCTGTTAACTAAATTTTTAGATACTTCAGATTATCCTTTCTATATGTGTGGGGGGACAGAAAAAAATTATTAACTTAACTAAATATGTTTAGAGTTCTCTCTCAAGTAATTATATTTAGTTCAAATATATTATATATTTAAGTTAAATATACGTGTGAGAGTCATGTCAACATGTTATTTGTTTGAATTAATAAATATTTGCTTGAAATCCCGTAACGTTGCATTTAATTGAATTAATTATATTTTTGAAATAGCAATATTTTTCTCAGTAAGAAAAAGATAAAAAATAAGGCTTCTAATAAAATATTTATAAGGTTTATTCTTTACACTCATTTAACTTCAAGTATTGAAAATGTACATTAGTTCAGCTAAAAAAAAAAACTTGTATTCTTGGCGGAATTACATCGGCATATTATAAATTACGTTTATGTTGGAAATTTCGATTTTATAATCGCGAGGGACGATCAGCGATCGCGACATTTAATTTTACAACACGGTTCATATACACCTGTGTTTCAATAAAAGCGATCTCTTTCGAAATTAAGCGAATAACTTTTGTCATTAAATACACAAACATCTATTGAATACACGGTATTATATGGTACACCTAGCATAATACACCGTGGGTACCGATGCCGAATGTAATTGTGTTTGCTTTCCCCGTTGGGAGTACTGAATTAATGATCAATAAACATGCTATGCTCTCTTTATTGACTATAATGTCATACACCGCGCGATTATCGTCCGTTATATTTATCTATCTAACATTCGCACCTTCCCAGACTACCTTCAGAACCCCTGAAGTTCTCCAGAAATGAAACTGAAGCCTTATTATTTAAATGATAGACATTCTGCATTTGGCATAAAATAATTTTACGGAAATTTATATGCAATAAAATAAAATTCTCTCTCCAGGAGTTCCTCGTATTCTTTTTTTTTGTATAAAATAAGTGTTTTCTTATAAAAATAATCCTCTCTTTATGCAATATAATCTTGACGTCTTTTTCTTTACTTGGCAAAACGCGACAAACCCTTCTTCAGTTGAGATCGATTCGGCAAGAGGAAAAGTACACGGAATCTACTTTTCTTGCAGCTATCAAATTAATTCACATATGCTCTCGCAGAGTCGGTGTTCTATATAGAAGAGCGGCGTAAGCTAGACGAGGGGGGTGGTGGACCATGCGATGGTAAATGACTAGCTTTGATTCACGACGCCATTGAAAGCCCGTTCCTCACCGGGAACGCGAGGATATAATGGCCGGCCATATTTGGCGCTTTTTCTGGTTGTCTTGCGAAACAGCAATGCATTCGTAACCCTTCACTCCATGTAGCGCACTAAATCATATCGAATTTTAATAAATACGAAAAAGAAAGGAAAAAATGCGATTTACACGTATATATTCTGTACCGTGCTTCTTCTTTAGCGCGCGATTTGTTAGAAAATCTATGCTCCGCATATCAAGATGGAAACCGTGTATTCGGATGCCTGTGCACGTCGAAATAAAAATACACTTCTAAAACTCGGAAACTGCATATCTAAATTCCTCGTGTCTTGAGCTAGATGGTATTCAACATTCTTCCATTCACGTATCGCGCCTGATATCACATGCACACATCCGGAAGAATATATGAGATCGATATTCCCTGAATTTTTCCCCGTATATCTTATATATCATGCTTTTGAAACGAATTGAAGAAATAGGTTTTATCTCTAAATAAAGATAGCTTTATCGATGTTATAAAATAGCTCGGGAAAGTACCTTAAAAATTATTCTATCATAATGTTATTTTATCGACAATAAAAAATATTAGAAAAACATTTCTCTCTTGAAAATATATTATTTAATAAATGGTTCATATTTCATAAAAATTTATTTTATTTGTGCTTCTATTTTTATTTATTTCATTTATTCATTTATGTGTTTTATATAAAGAGCTACTTTTATCAGGATTTCTGCAAATTGAATTCTATACATAAAATGTAATAGTAAGCAAGATTGTACGTGGTTTTAAACAGAATTAATCGTTAATGTAAAGTAAAAGTAAATAATAATAAATAAATAAATAGATATAAAATTAATATGAATAACAAAAATAAGCGAAAAGAATCTTATTCGACCAAAGTGAATCTTGGTGCGTACACTAAGAAAAATTTCTGATTGAAAATGACCATATCAATCAGAGTTTTTGGTTATCTCAAACAAAATTATAGTAAATTGAACAAGAAAACTTGTCCATTTTCAAAATTACAATTAATGCAACTAGTCTCTTTTTCTCTAATGTAATATTTTTTAATGAATTAAAAAGTTTCCAGTTAATGCAAACTATGCACGCGCACGTGCGCGCGAATTATTATATTATTTAAGATTTATTAAATAATTAACATATTTGAACACACAATAAATAAATAACTTTATTTATTTTTTTAAAATCAATATAGTATATTATAAATAAAATTTCTTACGATTTAGTAAAAGCTCATTTATTTAACAGCGTCTCCAATATTGAAATTAAATTACCCTCAATGTTTGTAACTCATTACCACTGTCTGATGGGATTTTGCGACCAAAAAGTTGGTTATTATTGGCATATTGAATTTCACGTACACCGAGTTTTAATAAATGAGAAATCCTTGTTGGTCGCCGTATCATCGATTCAACATCTTACAAATGCATTTAGACTTCTTGATTATCGATTCTCAATAATTACCTCTGGTTGCGCGGATTCATTAATCTGCCCTTTTTAGTCATTAAGAAAAAAAGGATAGAAAACTATCCTTCGACCTGTATTTACGAGAAGTACTAATCGATATTGCATTTCCGCCGATTCAACCGCGCTCGCGCGCTTTCGGAAGTTTAATTTTTTAGCAGACTTGGTAATACCGCGCTCGTGTGGAATCCGTTCGGCTGTATCCCGCCGCGAATTTTTCCATCGCAATTTATCTTTCAAAGAATATCGCGTTGGCTTCTATTTTTTATCATCCGATGTCGCGCTTATTTTCTTCATATCTATCGATTTTTTCACAAAGCGGATTTTAGACATTTTTAAATGGATCTTCTACGAGTTCACATTTATAACAATTGTATCTAGAAAAAATTGGCAGAACATTAGAATGTATTATAATATAATGTCGCGATCAAAGAGATAAAAATAGTAATAAAGTCACATCATCCACTTTTAGGAGCTTATCGCATCAATAATAGCTGATTGCGTCATTATTTTATGGATTTAAGAAAATTGGATTGCAAAGATGAGAGACTGAATGAGTTGCTTTCGAGAGAAATAAACGGGTCACAGTTAATTGGGCCGCCGTCATGTCCCGTTTATCGAATGTTTAATTTGTCTCGTTACGATGCCGGCACGTAATTAATTTCAATTAATTATATCGTCATTCCCGGGTCATCCTCCGCTCTCATTTTACGGCAATGATTCTACGTACAGTTTATTCGCGAATAAAATCACGTACGCCAATATGTAGAGTTTTACGAGAGGGCCGTGAACGCCGCGAGCCCGTGTCACAGACACGGTCCCCGACTGTATTGCGGTTATAATTAATTGGCAAACTGCAAATTACATGATAATTCTAATTATTTGTCGCTTTGTAAAGCGATTGCTAGGATAATGGCATGATTAGAATTTCATGATTGTCTGTACCGCGCGTTTGTGGTTACCGGAACTGAAAATCCCGGGATTGTAGTTGTAAGTATCGTTTTACTTGTATACTGCCTTAGGATAAACTATTTTAATTAGTTAATAAAGTAGATACATAACTACGCGAACTTACGAACGTGCAATATCCCTCAAATCTTAAAAATGTTTCTGCTTTACCAACTTTGTCGCAAAGTATACTTATTTTTTATGAAATTCAATATATTCTTGTAACATCTTTAATGATATTCTACCAATTACTTCTTAAATGAACGTTCTTGCAAGATAAGATACAAAACTTCTAAGAAAGTATGAACTTTAGGCGATAAAATTTAACTTGCGAAAACTTGAAAAATTTATTAAATTGGAAAGCGCACATTAATTTTGGAGAATCAATTGTTTTTCGATATTTAATATGATGAAGACGGATATTTTTATTAACTTCGATATCGAATTTTTTATTATTGCAAATTGAATAACGACACTGATTTTAAAATCAATTGAACGTGAATCATTTCAAGCACAGACTAGCAATCAGTTGTTTCGCTGTAACGATTACTTAAAACGCTTTTTACGTATCAAATTTCGATCACTCAGCACACAACTCTACTATAATGGCTTCTTCAACAGGAAAAAAGAATTCATTATAAGCAAAGCGGATATCGAAAAGTACATCGATTTATAATTAACATTCGAACTGATTCCTGAAATAGATTCTCTCTTTGCGAATTTCATCTATCTGTTAAAATATACAGGCACTAATAAGCATCGCAAATCTGCGATTCAATTATCTAGCAAAAATAATTTCTCTTTCACTTATTAGCCTCTTTAATCCCTTTCTCATAAAGAATTAACGCAACGAATAACCTACGTGTATTCGACTTTGCGAAAAATGTAATAATTATCAACAAGATTGCTACAAAAAGTCATTCAATTTTATATTTATGCCGAATCCAAAAATTTAACAAAATTTACACATTAAAACGTATAATTTTTCTGTTAAAATTAATCAGCTTATTTAATTATGCGATTACTTCGTTTTTATTGAAATATAGATCTCTTGTTTACGATTTTATTGGGCATAACGATATTGCGATATAATTGACTTTACTAATTCAAATATAATTAAAATGTAATGCTACGTAGTCGGGGAATATTTTTCATATTGTTTGTTCTACTCACTTCAGCAGGAAAAGCATACTTATTAATACGATGCTCGGAACCATGACCGTCGTCCATTCCGTAGTGAATATATATTTCCTCAAACTGGTAGTGATAGGCGAGAGGACCACCCGTTATGTTGACCCGTATCTTCGCCTCCCTATCTGCTCTGAATACCAGAAATTGCCCAGTATTATGTAAGTGTCCGGAAATCTGAAAGCAAAATTGATTGTAGTTTGTTAGTATCAATAACAAACTTGGTCAACAGAATACAATTAAATAGATTCATTTGGACAGTAGTCTAATTGCATTAATTGATTGATACTACAAATAAAAAGAAACTTCGTTATGTATTCACAAAATAATTCGTATTCTCTTGAGTAATAACAAAATGATAATATAATATATAGGACGGAGTTGGCGAAGTCGTACCGACGGTTAAATCGTATCTCCATTGTATTTTCTAAATATATATATTTTTTAAGATAATAACACTGATGTGACGCTAGAAATTTTAAGGGTTAAGAACTATCATTTTTGTTTTGTCTTCGAGTCGTCTGTTTACGAGTGACATTCAAAATTGATTTTGTTCGATGTCTGATCTAAGTTTTGGTACAATTTACCTAAAGTGTTATCAATACAAGGTACTTGAATTATAGTCCTTCATGGTTATAATTGATATTTAAACTCTTGTCAAATACAGCATCAAATTAGCAAAATATTTGTAAGTTATGTTGCTATTGGCAAATTTGTAAAAATATAAGGAGTTGGGTAAATCGTACTTGTCGCTAGTCTTTATATTGTACCGATATCAATTTAAGTACTGCTTTTTACTTAATTTTGTTAAATAAATTTAAAAAATACAGAGTCTAATTTCTCTTTTTACAATAGAAAAGTTTTTATTATACCTACTTAAATATGTATACTCAGTTTGAAGTTAAAAATAAATGTATATTAATAAATGAGTTTTGAAATTAAATTTTATTTATTTTCCCAGTAAACGTACTGACATTATTTACCGTCATTTTGACGTTAAAGATGTTATTTTAATGTTAAAATGACAATAAGCAACGTCAGCTTGTTTGCTAGAAGTACAATTTAGGAACCAGGTGGTACAATTTAACGACCCGGTCTCCAAATCGTATCGAAAGTTACTTTCTTTAAAATCTAATTTAAACAAAAATTTAATGTTTATTTTCGCAAAAGTATCGTTTCGTTTCATTGCCAATGAACCAAAGTTTAATATAAGTACAGAAATATTTTAATCTCTTCAGTACTTTTGTTACAATTATGTTGAAACGTTAGGGGGGACGATATAGGCGACTTCCCCCTAACTGTTTAAATTGTAATAAACATATTATCAGGAAAATGAAATAAAAAATTTTTAAGTGTAATAATATTTAAAAAAACAATAAGTGATCAATTATAAATTGTAAGGTATTCTAAGGTAAATCTTTTAAATTGTAAGATAATCATACGGATTACAGTTTCAGTATAAATTCATTTTTTAAATAAGTTTTTTTACCAAATCTTTGTTGGTGGCAATGTAAAGAATTTTCAATACTATAATTCTATGTACTTTAGAACGAGAATCGCAAACAATGAGAGATTCGCATGCCTTATCGTAATGAGCTGCATAAGAGCACGGTTGCAAAGATGTCTACAAGAAAGGGCGGCAACTCGTCGTCCGCGGGATAATTGATTAGGCATTTAATTGGATGGAATAGCAAAACCAGACACGGTGCCATGTCGCACAGGAGCTCCGGCAAAGTGCAAGACGAGGCCGGAGAAGTCCATTTTCTTGTACGTCGCCGAGAACCTGAATTATGGCGTCATCAGTTAGAAATAATGAGGTAACCTCGGGGAGAAGCCAGCCGCGGAAGACACGTCGGCAAAAGTCGTCGGAAGATAACTTATTATTTTGCAATAGATTTTTGGCTCCTCTGACCTCCTTTCCGCACTCCAATCCTTCTCGTCTTCTGCGCACAATGATTCTCCCTCCCTCCCTCTCTCTCCCCCCTTTCCTCCTGTCTCTCCCCCTCTCTCTCATTCAATACTTACATTAATATAGAATCTTTTTAAGATACTATTTCTTGTAAATTCAATAAAAGATGATTCCTACAGAAACTGAAGCCAATATTTCGTTACATGTAAAAATATTATTTTATTCTTACCGTCACTTTTTAGAACAAATTTAATAAAATGACAAATTATTTAGATATGATAAATTATATTGTAAAAAAGGATATAAATTAAATAAATAATATGTGTAAAAATTTATAGTTAAAATTATTTACACTAAAAATTTGTATGTTTGTGTAAATATGTATATATTATATTAGATGGAATTGTTATAATTTTAAATGTAACTTTTTTTACAAGTTATAATAATTTCGTATCGCAAATTCCAATCAACACATAACTCTTTCTAAATTTAATTAATCCCACATCGATCGTTACTCTCACTTCGAAGGCTCCTCATCGCTGTTTCCTCCCGAATTCATTAAGATATGGGAGAGCGGCGGGTCTCCTTACAATGACAGAGAGAAATGAACACGAACAGGCGGCGCGACGGCTTTTCCCCGACGCGTAGAGGAGAGTCAATGGTGCATAACTCATTATTTCGCGATAGATTTCCACCCTCCAGTCGCTAAGAATTATTCGTCCGTCCCCCTCGTCTTTTTCGTTCGCTCGAGTTCCTTTTTCTCTGGTACCACCGTCTTCGAACTTGGATCAATGGAAGGAGACTCGGTGAGAGACCGGAAGGAAGACTCACAGCGGAACACGGTAGTTCCGCGCGATTTCGAATGGGCACACAAAAGCCGCCCTTCTTTCAACGAAACTCAAAGTTCGGCCGGGAGTGGATCATCTTCCATCCTTACACCCCCGTCTTGTGAAGCTACCCCTCCCGCCGGTCGTTCCGCAAAGTCGTCCGCCTCGGTCCGAACAATCGTCATTGCGCATTCTAGCCGGCTGTCGTAGAATCCACTCCCATTTTGTTCCCACAGGAGCTGCAGAATTCACGAGCGATGTTGGGTAATGGCGGTCGACCGGAAAGTAGGAGAGAGGCGTCGAGATATAAGAAGCGCGTGGTGCCAAATCTTCTTAAAGTTCATCGACTTCGAGCGTGGTGATGTTTCACGATTAATACCGACTCTACCGACAACTTCCTTTTTCAAGTAATGGGAATGCCGGTTGGGAGAAGTCATGAGAATAATCGAATTTCGCAGGAAAGGGTTGAGATGAGAGAAGGGGAGTGCTTAGTTAAGAGCGCGCTAGACTCCTGATGTAAAGTCTGGTTCCTGTGGAGTGTTTACGAGATTGCCGAAACTCGCTAAATCCGTTTTCCATACGGACTGCAATTTCGCGATTACGCTGCAGGAATTCGGGAACTATGAAAAATGGATTTAGTTGCATAATGTGCGAAAGCTGGCAGGCATTATATTTAGTTCCCCGAGCTTTCCCACTACAATCTTTACTCGTGATCGAAGTTTGCAGTAGAAACAGACAATGCTTGGTTAAATGCTGACTGGGTCTTTTCGTTAACTAGAACATTCTTCTCTGCGTAAGCTCTAAAAAAAAAAAAGCATCGTGTTTCAAGTACAAAATACAAGTAAATCTCATTACGGTGATTGACAGAAGAAGGTTGAAATTCCTTATTATCTACTTAGAAAATATAACTATCTAAAAGACATCATAGAGAATAGAGACATCATAAAGATCTTTTGGACCATTTATGTCTGAGATATGTAAAAAAAAAAACGTCATAAAGACATCTCTTAGACATATTATCTCTCGGTACAAACTTTATAAGTACCAATCGTACAAATTGTACAACCATATAAAATTTCCACTTTGAATCAAATGACCCGTTTGCTGTAGACAAGAATTCTATAATTATTTTGTCGATATTCGAGAGATTATTATTTTTAAATCTCTAACAGAATTTTTAGACACTTCAGCAAAATCGTTCTTTCCGTGTACACTAATCAGCAGAATTAAGCTTTCGCGTGAAACGAAGGAAATCAAGGTAGACGGAGGATTAGTAGAAACGCCACGAAAGACCTCCAAAAGCCGGTTACGGAGTCCAACATTGTCCGATAATTAACACGAATCGGAATCCCATCGGAATCGCCCCGCACGCGACTCGCGTACGTTATCCACCTCCCCTCCCCCTGTACTCGGAATGTGAAAAGCTCCCTCGCTCGCGTGCCCCTTTCCCGCACAGTTAACTAACAATCCGCTCTGTTTATAGAACAGTTAAGGTCGTTTCATGCGCCGCGACAGTTTCTTACACCGCTCTACGATCGGGTTTATCGAAACGTGCCGCTTCAATTATGGCTGCGCCGGCCACAGAGGCACGTTCGGGAATTGGCAATTCCGGCGCGACGTATAAGAGAACACGCGCTCGTTACAGCTTCGATTATGGCGAGTACAGGATATACACATACAATTCGCTAGTATCACGAGGGAATTGTTCGTGCGAAGAAACGTACTATGGTATCGACGGGCTGTTATAGCAGCGGCTTTAGTGTGCGCCAGAGATAGAAGTAGCTCGTAAAGGCCTGATGCCGTTCCGACCAAAATCTACTCGATCACTTGTTGCAATAAAATTACGACAGGCAAGTAATGCCGATATACAGAACGACTCAATTTTACTTTACAAAATTTCTAGATTATTTTCGTAACTTGCTAGATTATTTTAAAATTTATAAAAATTTCTTCATTGCAATTATTTGTAATTCATTATAAATCATTCAAGTTTATTTCATTACAATTAAAATGTACTGTAACTTCAATTTGAAAAACACTGCGAGCCTTGTTATTAAATTGTTAAAATATTTATTATTTCCATATGCTTTAAATAATCATACATAGAAGGAACAGTCATGGTTGAATTAACAAAATACGTTTGATTAAGCAAATTTTGATATAGAGGTAAACAGAATTTCTAATGACTAAACTCAAATATTTTGGTACGCAACCTTTAGATATAACATCGGCAAGAGTTTGATTAATGCATATGTAGTAACAATATCCAAATATCTGATTATTATAATTACAAGGGAAAAGAGCATGGTTGAATTAACGTGGCAAATAAATAGTTTGATTATTATATACATAATTCAAGTTAATTCTTTTCAGTGTAAGAACTTTTATTGTTCTACGTTGAGAGAAAAAAATGGTTGCAATTACCATAATTTAGCTATAAT